AAATATCACCTTTTACTACATAAAAGTATAGATCGAAGCAGACATGTTCCTCCAACTATACAAGATTTGATCTGACCTACCTACTACTTTTTAAAAAACATTCACTCCACTGCAGATACAGCAAACAGGGTAAGGCCTCTTTCCATGAAATATGGGGTTAAATAAATATCAGATTCATGACGATCAATTGATTGAGATCATGAGATAGCACAGAATGACCCAAAGTAAACTCCAGAATAATTCCATAGCAGCCATTATATGCTAGAATAAATGTTTTGATAACTTAAGTTGAGTCAGAGTGGGGTTATTTTTTTAAAAACAAAGCAAATTGTTGGATAAAAATAATTCATTCAGACATAGAGCAGTAGCTAAAAATACAACATCAACAACATGCAATAATGGGAATTTATTCGGAGTTTTCACGTCTAAACTTCTCCCATCCTCTGGGAAACGAGTATTCAAAAATAAACAGTACTCTGACTAAATCAGCAAGTATTTACTGTCAGACTTCTATGCATTCCACCACAAGCAGGGCTGGGATTCTGCACTGACCACATTAGTGTATGTTTACCTTACTTTAATGATGGAATGGAAATAAGATAGTGGTAAGAATTTCGAGAAAATATTGGTTCTCGTGGATGAAACTTTCCATTAAACGTTGTTTTTCTGAGTGGGGGGAAGTGTCCAGTGGTGTCCCCCAGGGGTCAGTATTGGGACCACTGCTCTTTTTGATCTATATAAATGACCTGGACTTGGGTTTAGGGAGTACAATTTCCAAGCTTGCAGATGATACTAAGCAAGGAAATGTAGTAAATGGTGAGGAGGATAGTAGCAGACTGCAAGAGGACATAGACAGACTGGCAAAATGGGCAGACACAGGCAGGTGAAGTTTAATGTGGAGAAATGCATTTTTGAGAGGAAGAATGAAGAGAGGCAATATAAGCTGATGGTATAATCTTAAAGGGAGTGAAGCAACAGAGAGACCTGGGGGTTCATATAAGTAAATCTTTGAAGGTGGTAGAACAGGTAGATAAAGCTGTTAAAAAAGAATACAGGATACTAGGCTTTATAAATAGGGGCAGAGAATACAAAAGTCAGGAAGTTATGATAAACATTTATAAAACACTGGTTAGGCCTCAGCTAGAGTACTGTGGTCAGTTCTGGGCCCCACACTTCAGGAAGAGTGTCAAGGCATTGGAGAGGGTGCAAAGGAGACTTACCAGCATAGTACCAGGAATGAAGGACTTCAGAAGCTAGGATTATTAATAATAATAATCTTGCATTTGATATAGCGCTTTTCACGTCGGGAGGATGTCCCAAAGCGCTTCACAGAACACACTGTAAAGTGAATTGACTATATTTGTGGGCGAACGCGGCAGCCAATTGCGCACAGCAATGACCCACAAACAGTCGTAGATTGAAAATGAACAATTTATTATTGTTTTTTGTTTTTTGGAGGGATTATTATTAGGCGTGTGGAGTAAGGAAACTTGCCCAAGGTTTCGCCCTGCCTGGAATTGAACTCAGGTCTCTCACTTGCAAAGCGAGTGCTCTAACCACTGAGCTACAGGACTCCATTGGAGTCTCCTTGGAGCAGAGACCGTTAAGAGGAGACTTAATAGAAGTTTTCAAAATTATGAGGGGATTTGATAGGGTAAACATAAGAACCTAAGAAATGCTGGACGAAAAAAGACCAAGGTCTATCTTGTTTGCCTTCCACCTCCCCGGAGGTCGCATGCACATATGTCCCAAACTACCTATGTACTATATCCCGTAATGTTGTTTCCTAAAAGAAAATTAAAAGAAAACTAGCTAATCTATGTTTGAAAGAATCAACACTTCCTGCTTCAACCGTCTCCCTAGGAAGCCTGTTCCACAGGTTCACTATTCGCTCACTGAAATAGTATTTGCATAGATTCGTTCTGAATTTACCCCATTTCAATCACAGGCTGTGTCCTCTGGTTTTACTATTCTGGATAAGTTGAAACAGTTTGTCAAGATCTATATTGTATTGGACAATATAGATCACCAATGTGAACAAGGAGAGACTATTTCATATGTGGTTAGCAGGTCACAGATAATATAATAATAATAATAATAATCCTTGCATTTGATATAGCGCTTTTCACGTCAGGAGGACGTCCCAAAGCGCTTCACAGAACACACTGTAAAGTGAATTGACTGTATATTTGTGGGCGAACGCGGCAGCCAATTGCGCACAGCAATGTCCCACAAACAGTCGTAGATTGAAAATGACCAGTTTATTATTGTTTTGTTTTGGAGGGATTATTATTAGGCTCTGTGTGGAATAAGGAAACTTGCCCAAGGTTTCGCCCTCTGCCTGGAAGAAATGTAGGAAGGGGCAATGCCGTGGAAGGCCTTGAAGGTGAGGACGAGGATTTTGAACTCTATCCTCTGAGAGAAGGGCGGCAATTGGAGCCAGGTGGGGGTGATAGGATCATGGAGAAACAAGGAGAAACTGGCAGATGGGTCAATAACCCAAGGACACAGATTTAAAATAGTTGTTAAAAGAACCAAAGGGGAGGTGAGAAGAAATGTTTTCGCACAGTGAGTTGTTCGGATCTGGAATGCATTGCCTGAAAGGGTGGTGAAAACCGTTTTGATAACAATTTTTAAGAGAAAAGTAGATAATTATTTGGGGAGGACAAGTTTGCAGTGCTATGTGAAGAGAGCGGGGGAGTGGGATTGAATTGGATAGCTAGTATAAAAGAGCCGGCGCAAACATGATGGGTCGAATGGCCTCCTTCCGTGCTGTATAATTCGATGATTCTATGAAAGATAATGGCTATCATGATTTGAAAACATGGTTAAAATGAATGGGAACAAATTAGTAATTAATAATTAACTGCAGTGGGTCAGTTTGTGGCTAACCTCCCACATTGCGAGGGCCAATAGAAAATTGTGGAAATATTTTCAAAAATTGCGGAAATAATCGCAGAGAAATTTGACAAATTTTGTGGAAAATTGGTTGGAGGGAGGGGGGTTGATGTGTCTTGATGTTTTGTGCGAACTGGGCTGTTCCAGGTATTTAACAGTGGCTGGCTGCCAAATGGAGGTGGTTGCTGAACAGGTTTGACTGTACTTGTGTGGACTTTAAAGATCCAGTAAAATTTTATGAATGTGTGTGTGTCCTCAGGTGAATGTCCTCTCCCACACCAGGCTCCATGACCCCATAACCCCCATGCAGCTCAAATGGCTCCCCATCCGTCAGAAGATAGAGTTCAAAATCCTCGTCCTCGCCTTCAAGGCCTTCCACAGCATTGCTCCTTCCTACCTCTGTGACCTGCTAACCCCATATGAACCCGCTTGCTCTCTCCACCCAGCAGGCTCTGGCCTGCTCCACATCCCCTGTCAGCCCACCCCACCATTGGCAGTCGGGCCTTCAGCCTTTCTTCACCCGACCCTTTGGAACTCCATCCCACAGTGCCTTCACCTTGCTCCCTCCCTTGCCTCCTTCAAGGTACGTCTCAAGACCCTCCTTTTCAACCGCGCCTTCAGCCAATTATCCTCTCTGCCCTCCACCCTCCCTCATCCCAAACACCCACCTCGCCCGGGTCCAAAATGCTGACTGTCCAGAGTCTTGGGACATCCTCCCGACGTGAAAGGCGCTATTCAAATTTAATTTTGTATTGTTGGAGTTTCTCCCAGTATTCTGATCAATCATCCTGACAAAATTGCTCCCAAAATGCTTGCTGCACATAACATACAAAAATGGTCACTTTACTTTAAAATAATTGCCATTAAATGCATTGAGATATTTTGATATGATAAGGACAAATGCAAGTTCTTTCTTATAACACAATGCCAAAAAAGAAGCAATCGTGCTGTGACAAATTCAGTAGAAGATGCCAATTTCTAGAAATTGGTTGTTATGATTCAAGGTTGAGTTTTTTTTGGCAGTTACTTCAAATCCCACCAATTACATAACTGTAGCCGGGTAACACGCCCATGTACATACATTGTGGTTTGGAAACTTTTTTTTGAACATTTGGTTTTAAAAAATGCCCAGTACAATTTTGCTGAGCACATGGGTCACTTGCATGTGAATAGTCCCACCTTCACAAGGAATAGCATTAAAATTTGGCAGATTAAGATTACAATTATCTTATTAAAAGGTACCAATCACAATCAATGTGTAGTTTTGCAATTTTACAACTTTCTTTAACCAAAGTTGAAGATTGATCGTTGGTAAGGTAACACTGATCATCCCCAGCACTTCCTAATCTCTCTGATCTACTCCTACTCACAAAGGAGATTTCTTCTTGCTGGTACATCCTAAAAATTTAGCTTCAATCTCTTGCGCCTTCCTCTTATAGAACCCTTCCTCAGATTATGTTTTCAAGGAATAGACTGAAAAGCATTGCTACTTCATTGGTGAATTACCCAGCGCCTTGCAACGTCCTCCCAATGTGAAAGGCACTATACAAATGTAATTTTGTTGTTGTTGTTGAATTCTTCAGGCATCATCCATATGTATGATAAAGTGCTACATCAAATGCAAGGATTCATTATCTATTTGAGATTTTCTTCTTACAAACACACTGTAATCTACATCAAGGAAATGGTATAGGGCTAGCAATTTTGGTACAAGCTATCCCAAGGATGGGATGCAGATCTTGTTGCATGTAAATCAGGAACGTGTACAATGACTTTATTCATTCTTTCACAAGAAGATAAGTAAAAGGACATACAAGATGGTGGTTTGCGGAGGCCCCTTCGAGGATAGGCATCTCACTTGGAACAAACGCAAGGAATCCCAGGGGAAGAGGTTGGCATGTCTGAGCCTCTCTCATAGTGCGTATTGCTAATAATAATACTTTTTTTCAGTTACCACCAGCTCCTGCCTACTTACTGCTAAAAATCCCATAGCCCTATTAGAAAAGTGAAGGGAGTTTCTCCTGGTGTCCTGACAGGCAATCCACTCAATTACTTTATCAGTTAAAAAACAATGATCAAAGTGCACAATTTAACAACCATACCTTTGTTAAGAACATCCATGCATCAAACTGGTCTGTGGAAAAATAACTCTTCACCTTTACGGAAGCCAGCAGCACACAAAACCCCAGAATTCCACTAAAATAACAAAAGCAGTGCTCATTGTGACAGGAGTACTCTAAATTTGGACAGATCATTTTGAACAACAGTCACTTTGCCACCCATAGTTATTAAAGTTGAGAGCATAACAATATTTAAAAAGGAACCGGACAAGCACTTAAGAGTGAAAATATAAAAGAGGATAGGGAAAGGGTGGATATTTGGGATTAGATAGTTTGCTCCAGTGGAGAATCCAGAGTGAGTATAGGTTTAAACAACTGAAACCTTCTTTGGCTGAAGATCCATACAGGGTTTTAATGTCTTCCCTTGCTACCCTCTTACTATATATTAAAATAAGTTTTTGACATCAGGCTTTCAATTACTCCTTTCACTGCAACAACTGGACCAAAGGAGGTTACACAGAACTGGCTATCTGTGCTGTTAATCCTAAAGTCTCCTTTCAATGTTTATTTCATAAGGAAGAACAAGTGGAATCATCACCCAGGAGCTCAGTAGAAGCTCACTGAATGAGTCAATTCAACAGTTCTCAGAGTGTGACAGCCAAGAAAAATTTTAGTTGAAGCCAAAATTGGCTTCCTTCCAGGCTCCAGATTGCCGACATGAACATTGTTCTCAGTACACATTGGTAAATTCCTTGGCTATCATTTTCACTTAGATTTATGGAATACAGAAAATTTCCTCCCCACTTCCCGCCAAGGTCTTTGAGAGAATATAACCTGTGACAATTGTCGATCAGGGAGATATTTAAAGCAATACTCCATTTTCAAAGCAGCTTTTCCTTGTGAAATACTTTTTGTATGGCTTCCAAAGATAGCATTGTAAAGAAAAGAGGGAAAATCTACTATATTAAACAACAACTTTAGTATATTTAGAAAAGATAAAGTACTTTGTTTCCAAGGCTACTCTACAGAAAGAAAAAAATACAGCAACAGAAGATTGCTCTTCAGCCAAAAATTAAGGAAAATAAGAACATTAATTTAGTATCTTGTTCTTCAACCACAATATCTGCAAGCTTCTCACTATTTGTTCAGCTAAGACCACCCTATTCCCATTAATGCTTTGGTGGCTCTCAATGTTAACATGAACTGAGTGCAAAGAATTCTTGCCTCTTGTAACTAGTGTGTTCCTCCAAATCTTATTAACAGTATCTTGGAGCTTGCAGCTCTGCCTCGCTTAGGTATTGACTTAATTCTGATATTCTTTTGCCAGGCGTTTCACCTTAGAGCCAGCTCAGTCCCAAGAGACCTGCTGTCTTCTCTTCTCTCCCGCCCTCAGAGTACCAGAGCATAGTCACTAGTTTATCATTAAACATTGATCGACAGGAGTGACAGGTATTCTGTGGCAACCCAAATACAACAAGGTAACAAACAGACACTATGGACCTGGACAAGACATTGCTTACAGTGAGGGGGTAGGGGAGGAGAAGAAGAGCTTAGATCCTTCTTAAGGAAAAGAAAAACTTTGTTCGCTGAGGAAAATGTTGTTGGTGGATCAATTACTATGAAAGTCATTATCTAGGCTATTGTGCAATCAAGTCAAAGAACAATTTCAGAGGCACTTAAGTTCATTCAAACTGCTGAACAAAGGCCTCTGTTGCACTGTGTACACAAGATATCTTAAAGTTAATAACAGAGACCACAACAAAACAAGGTGAGTTTCCAATAAATTTGTAATTTAAATTTTTTTTTAGTTTTACTGTTACTGCACTGAATATAGAGTGCAGGCGCCACACAATTTAAAAGAGAACCATCAAGCAAATGCACGTTTATCTCAGTTTAATGCTGGCTGAAGAGGAGAAGGACTGTAAAATCAACCTACGCATCAGACCCAAAGTGAACATTACCTGGCGCAACAGCCACCATGGAATCGGTAGAAGTAAAGAAATGGGAAATCCAAGGCACTAAATGCATCACCTAAAAGGAGAAAGAAGTCATCTTAAAACAGGATTCACCATTTTTTGTTAATAGTTACTAGTGGCTTTTTTGTGGTTGTGTGTGACATTGTGTGCAAATTGACTGTCGTATTCATCTATAAAATATACAGTCACTACATTTTACAGTAAATCCTGTGAAGTATTTTCGATACGTCCTAACGTGAAAGACGATATATCAAATACATTATTTTTGGTGATTAGTTTCTGACACGAAAGCATTACTGTTGTACAAAATGATTTTGCTTTTATATAAAAAAATTACCTCCAAACTGCCCCTAATAGACTGCTTTGTAAAACCACCATTCAGCTCAGCACTAGCTATACAGAACAAGGAATTAAAGACTCAAATCCTAGTCTTCTGCCATCTTATCTCAACCTGGCTGGCGCTAAGGTCCCTAAATGTTAGCACCATAATTTAGGGAAATTGTAAAAAAAAACTACTTCCTCAACCGGATCATTCACTACTCAAGGGGTTGAGGTGTGCACTTATGGATATCGAAATATGGATTTTTTTTACCTACTGTAAAATACTAATCTGATATTTAAGCAGTAGAATGTGTCACTCTAAGGAAACTACTCTATAACTAGTGTAACTAGTGTAGCTAGATTAGTGAAATCCCCACAATCTGCTCTACAATTAGTGTAACAATAAACATATAGCTATAATAGTGAAATCTCCACACTCTGCTTTATAACTAGTGTAACTAGTGTATCTAGACTACAATAGTTATAGGTTGGTTAAACTGGTTACACTAATCTTGGGACTCACACAGCATGGGCTAGGGCTAAAGTGCAGAGCTGAGGGAGGGGGTGCGGGGTGTTGCATTATTGAAGGAGCCATCCCTTGGGTGGGAAGTTGGACCAAGGTCCCGTCTGCCTGTTCAGGTGGACATTGAAGATCTATTTTACTGTAGACTGTATTTTGTAGGCAAACGACTATGAACTCAATGATTAACTTTGCAAATTAACACTAACCTAGCCTGAACTACATTTTAAACGTGAGGAAAATGTGTTCATTGACACGATTGGAATAAAACACATTTATTTTAACAAAACAGACTGTTTAGCTCACTAAATGTTTAAGAAACAACGCAATTAACTACATGTTACATACATTATGTTCCACAACACAAGGTCCAATCTATGTACAGGTTTCTTTTCTCAATTTCACTCTCTGGATTGTATTTCAACCTTATAACAAGCACCCAGTTTTCTACAGAACATATTCAGAATATAATATTCTATATAGATCATACTCAAGTTTCTCTTCATCTCACCTGCTGAAGGCAGCGACTCAATTTCTGGGTTTGGTTCATGAGCACCAGCAGTGTAAAAGGCTAAGTGATTAGGTGACACCACACAAGAGGTTCGGATTGTCTCAGAGATTTTAACTCTCTGAATCAGATAAAAATCTATGAGACAATCTGAACCTCACTTGAAGCTCACATGATCATCATCAGAAGATGCTATAACCAGGAAATAAAACTCAAGCTTCTCCATATTCTCCTAGCACAAGGATATTGAGGTAATTCAAGGGCCTTCCCTATTGCCCAGTTGAAATTCGCCATCTTTTGCAGACAGGATTCCAATATTTCCTCATTTATAACAATACAAACTTCGGTTCTTCATTACCAAAAGACATTTTTCAGTTAATGAGTCAGTCCACAGCTTAATTGAAGGTGTAACTAAACTATACAAACTAGGAAGGTGCAAGTATCAGTGTCTGGACTGAATTAGCTTTTCTCAGCCAGTGCCAAACTCAAGACAAAATTGATAATAATAATAATCCTTGCATTTGATATAGCTCCTTTCAGGTTGTCGAGATGTCTCAAAATGAGTGACCAATTTTATTTGGGGGATTTTGGGTTAGGAAACAGCAAACAACTCCCTTCTCTTTCAAAAAGTACCATGGGATCTTTAACGTCTACCTGATCAGGTAGGCGGGATCTCGTGATAACATCTAATCCAAAGGACGGCACCTCCGTCAATGCAACAATCCCCCAACACTGCATTGGAGTGTCACCTTACATACTCATATATCCTCTGCTGGAAAGTACATAAATGTAGACAAAATTCTGTGAAATAAAATAACTGCAACTTTCATAAACAGTAAAATTAAATGTAGAATGCAACATAGATCAATAGCAAGTTAGGATATTTACCTGAAAAATGGGCAGCAAAGGCCAGAAGTACCACACTGTAATTGAACAAATTGTTAAAATGATTCCACTGAGATAATTCATTTTCAACAATAATGTATATTCATATAGTGCCTTTTATGCAACATGACCATCTTGAAGTAAGAAAAATGGCGCCTCACAAGGTGGTTAGAGGTCACTGAGAAAGGGAAAGTAGAGTGAGTTTAAGAGAACTGCCAGAGTCAAGGTATAATGTTTTGAAGTTAGGGAAATAAGAATTTAAGGAGAATTACCATGTATTTTCCCCCTTGGTCTTTCTGCTTATGTACCAAGTGCAGCCAATTTGTTTCCAGTGTTCAATGTCACCAATACAGTAATACAGTATGTAAAAATAGATGGTCTTTAAATACATCACTTATTTTCCATCAACCATTTCTTTAAATTTACTTCAAAACAACTACACAGGATACTTTTTCCTAATCTGAATCAGTCAGCATTTTCTTATACACTCAATAATGGATTTCAGCAAGAGACAGTGACAAGAATATAGGTCTCCTAGAAATGACTTGGGCGGCTGCTAAATCCACGTAAATACTAAACAGTAACGAAAATAGCTCAGGAGATATGAATATCCAAATAAGCATTGCAATAAAGAATGATTACAGTAAATTACAATGCTTATGTGCTGGGGAATTCAATGTGATTGCAAAGGTTGAAAAACAAGCAAACCTTAAAAAGGGCTATTTGTTAAATGTTTCAACTATAATCTAAGTTGTTAATCGTCTGAGATCTCCAGGGATAGGAATTAGTGGGCACATTCGGAGCTTTCATTTGGGAAGAATTAAAGGGTGGGTTATTGCTGTGCGCAATTGTGTTGCCACATAAAGTCACTCACTCCACTTCACAGTAAACCCTGTGAAGCAATACAATACAATATTACATTTGTCAAGCACCTATCATGGCACTGAAATGTCAGGGATTAGTGAGGGGGTAGCATCAGGGAGGGTGGAGGGCAGAGAGGGTGCCCGAAGGCACGGCGAAGAAGAGTGTCTTGAGGCCTGCCTTGAAGGAGGCAAGGGAGGAAGCGAGGTGAAGGGAATATGGGATGGAGTTCCAGATGATGGCGGTAGAGAGACTGAAGTCTCGCCCGCCAATGGTGGGGTGGGCCATGCGGGGGACATGGCTGGAGCCTGCTGAACGGAGAGAGTGGACTAGTTGATAAGGGTTTAGCAGCTCAGAGAGGTAGGAGGGGGCAAGGCTGTGTAGGACCATGAAGGTGAGGACGAGGATTTTGAACTCGATCCTCTGAGGGTTGGGGAGCCAGTGGGTGGGTGTGATGGGGTCAAGAAGTTGCGGGAGAGGACACGAGGTGCAGAGTTCTGGATGATTTGTAGCTTGTGGAGGGAATAGTTGGGAAGGCTGACAAGCATGCATGAGCACTTCGAGACATCCTCTGGACATGAAACTAGCTATCTATGCCAATGTATATTATATTATTTTTATGATTAAAAGGGAGTGACTAAGCATTTTTGTAGATATTAATATTCAAGTAGCAGCTGTCTTCCATCTCTCTCCCCCACGTGAAATAGTTGTTGGTGCATATAAAATTTGGGAGAATCCAGGAAGTTAAGCATTATAAGTAAACTGATCTGCCCATACAAGGTTAATTCAATGCTTAGCAACCAAATATCTTACACCATTAAAAAAAGGTTCACAAAGTGGTCCCATATTTTTCTCATAATTGATACTTTTCAGTGGATTAAAAGCTAAACATAACAAATCATTGAAACATGACAATACATTGCACAGAAATGTCACATCGAGGAGATAAACTTTTACTTCATTTTTAACTGTGATTGTATTTCATTAATTTTGGAGAAGTTGGGAAATGCTGAAAATAATCTTCACCAAAGTTCATTAATCTTATGATTATTTTCAGCATTTCCCAAATTCAGGTATACAGTATTTCAAATTATCCCCAAAACAAGGAAATGATGTCTTGGGACTGATTCAGTGGCAGGACTAGAGATCAGTGAAGAAACTTTTAAATAACTGCGCAACAAAACCTGAAAGAATGAATGAAGAATATTTAAATAGCTATCAGTATATTGTCATAACATAGCCCTATATTTTGATTTTAATTGAAGGTAAAAACATAGATTCGGATACAAAATGCTGCAATTTAACAAAATGACCAAATTCTTGGCTCATTAGATTCTATGATGGAAATACTATATGGCTAATGTTTACTACAATGCATAGCTATTGAATGTCCAGAATTGGTAACCAGGATCAATGACCCCCTCAGCATTGAGACAAGCGATGGTGAAAAAGAGGAATGCGAAGGAAGAGGAACAGAAAGCCTGGGAGTGAATAGAAAAGTGAAAGGAGAAACAAAATTAGACTATTGTAAAATTGAGTACATTCCTTCACACTGGTGTTTACCTGTATAAGTAGTTGAGGTACTGCTGCTCAAATTCACTGAAAGGAAAGAAAAATATATTTAGTACCTTAATGCTGATTAAAGAACTGTCCTTGCCTTAGGTAAGCAAGATAGATGGTGAACAGTACCTTCCATCACATACAGGGAAATGTCTGACTTCTGTATCATCAAATTGGCATTGCCATAATTTCTTAATAATAATAAAAACTTTGCATTTTATGCAGTACCTTTCCCATCAGAAGGATGTTCCAAAGCACTATACAGGTTATACTGTAAAGTATTGTGACTGTGTGTTTTGCGGGCAAACATGACAGCCAAGTTGATTACAGAAATGTCCCACAAAGAGCAATGAAGTGGATGACCAATTTTGTTGTGGAATTGTTAGCCAGGTCGCAAGGAAAAACATAATTTTTGTTTCAAGTAGTGTCATGCATCCTTTAAAATCCACTTGAATAAATTGATGGGGCCTTGGTTAAACGACTCATTCGTAGGACAGCACCTCCCAACAATGCAGCACACCTCAAACGCTGCATTTTGGAGTGTCATTTTAGATGATATGAGTTCTAAGACCAAAGATGGGGCTTGAACCCACGTCCTTATGATTCAGAGGTGTGAGTTTTTTCATGTTGGATGCAGGAAGCAATGCTGATACTACTTTCTTTATGAAATGACAACAGTAACGTGTCCTTTGCAAAGCACAACATGCAGAAAGTTATATCAGTGATGACCAGAATGCAATAGACAAGTTTGAAATGTTCAAAATAAAATGGAAATAAAATTTTACATGGATGAAAAGATCTCAGTGAAACAAAGTGTATTTTCAAATAAAATCCTGTAGGATTAAAACTCAACCACAATAGTTACCATTTCATATTACTGCTTATAAATCGTGATTTTATAACCACAATAGAATTCTGGTAAACAATGCTCATAAAAAAAATTCTTCCAGGCACAAGAGAATGTATGATCTTCCATTGTACGATAGACCAGGAAGTATAATGTACTAGAGAAATTTAAGAGATAGATTGATGCATGGGTGCAGTTTTATATAGTTACCTTAATAAACAAGATTTCGGTAATTCCTGGAACACTCTGTATCCACCTGCAACACAAAGGAAGCACAAATAATGCTTAGTTGGGTATATTTGGTCACTCAACCCACGACTGTTTGTGGGTCACTTCTGTGAACAATTTGCTGCTGTTTTTGGCCCACAAAATATACAGTCAATCCACTTCACAGTATATTCTGTGAAGCACTTTGAGATGTCTCAACAACGTGATGTGGCGCTACATCAAATGCAAGGATTATTACTATATAATTACCACCTGCTACATTAAAATTGACATTACAAACGAGTCTCTTGCTGGCATAATTTTGAAAGTAAACATAGCCAAAGGTCTAACTTTACCTATTGACAACTTAATTTAAAATTAACAATCACCATACAAAAAAAAACTCAATAATAATAATCCTTGCTCTTGGTATAGCACTTTATCATGTCTTGGGAGACGTCTCAAAGCACTTCACAGAATATACTGTAAAGTGAATTGACTGTATATTTTGTGGACGAAATATGGCACCCAATTGCGCACAGCAGTGTCCACAACAGTCATGGATTGAAGTGACCAATTTATTATAATTTTTTTTGAAGGAATTATTATCCCTGGAAAGGCGATCCCCCAATTGACTAACAACTGGATTCCTACTTACTGCTAGGTAAACAGAGGCGTGTGAAGTAAGGAAACTTGCCCAACATTTCACCCTGCTGGGAATTGAACCCAGGTCTCTCGCTTGTGAAGCGAGTGCTCTAACACTGAGCTACAGGACTCCACGAGGGCTCCAGGACTCCAAAGCAGAAAATGCAAGTAAACATTTAGTACTTGGAATAATAATAATAATAATAATAATCCTTGCATTTGATATAGCGCTTTTCACGTCGGGAGGACGTCCCAAAGTGCTTCACAGAACACACTGTAAAGTGAATTGACTGTATATTTGTGGGCGAACGCGGCAGCCAATTGAGCACAGCAATGTCCCACAAACAGTCGTAGATTGAAAATGACCAATTTATTATTGTTTTGTTTTGGAGGGATTATTATTCAAATTTGAACACATCTTATATACACATTCAGCTTCAGAGAAATAGATGCCCACCACCATCACATAATTTAACATACATATTTAACATTTGATCCAAGCACTTCAGGCCTGAGGGTGGTGTATTGAACAAGTAGACCACACTGCCCAAATCAGTGGCTTTTAGGTTCCTCAGAGATTTGAAGCACAAACATGTTTCCCCATGCATATCTTCCATGTATCTACATAAAATTTTAGAGAAAACTGATTTTTTGGTTAGTCAGGTGTCTGTCCTACACAGAAACCCATTACCATGTTTCAGAGAATCAAAACCAGAGTTCCACATAGGTAGGCCACCTATACGTGGAAATTTCCTTGCATCTGTAGGGGAATGTACACTGCTTCCCTGGAGAGTCGCACCCTTTTTTACCTAATTCCAGAAAGTTTTTGGTGCAGGTTGGCAAGAGACAAGGCTTGGGGACCACAGATGTTTCCTGCTGCTGCAAGGACCACCATACCCACTGGTCTTTGGTGTGCAGCATTAATAGGAAGGGAATCTATTCCCATTCCCTTAAAAACTGCCTCTATTCCCATTCCCTTAAAAAACTGCCACCATCACTCCCACCTTAAAAAAACCCTCCCTTGATGCATCGCAGCTATCAAGCTACCGGCCCATCTCCAACCTCCCCTTCCTATCCAAGGTCCTGGAACGAGTTGTCGCCTCCCAGCTGCGCTCTTTACTCTCTAACCATTCACTACTCGAACCCCTTCAATCGGGTTTCCGTGCTGCCCATAGCACAGAAACTGCCCTGGTCAAGGTCACCAATGACATCCTGACCATCTGTGACCAGGGCTCCCTCTGCCTCCTCGTCCTCCTCGACCTCGGCAGCATTCGATACGGTCGACCATGCTATCCTCCTCCACCGCTTGTCCTCCCACCTAAACCTTCAAGGCCCTGTCCTTGAGTGGTTTAGGTCGTACCTCTCCCACCGTCTTCACTTTGTCTCCACAAATGGTTTTTCCTCCGGCCCCCGCACTGTCTCGTGCGGTGTCCCTCAAGGCTCTGTCCTCGGTCCCCTCCTCTTCACCCTCTATATGCTCCCCCTTGGTGACATCATCCGCAGACATGGGGTTAACTTCCACATGTATGCGGATGACACCCAACTCTACCTTTCCTCCTCTACCCTCAACTCCACGACCACCGATGTCCTGACAGCCTGCCTGTCCGACATCGAGTCCTGGACGAGAGATAACTTTCTCCAGCTCAACGTACGCAAAACTGAGGCCCTCCTGATTGGCTCGCATCAGCGCCTCCGCACCTCAGGCGCTGACAGCATCAGCATCCAAGGCTGCACTCTCCACCTCTCAAAGCCAGTCAGGAACCTCGGGGTTCTGTTCGACCCTGAGCTGTCCTTTCTCCCCATATCCGCGCCACAACTGGCACCGCCTTCCATCACCTCCGGAATGTCGCCAGACTACGGCACTACCTCACCCCTCACGCTGCTGAAACTCTGGTCCACGCCTTTATCACCTCAAGGCTGGACTATGGGAACTCTCTCCTCGCCGGCCTTCCCGGCACCTCCCTCCACAAGCTGCAGGTCATTCAGAACTCTGCAGCTCGTGTACTGTCCCGCACCAGGCTTCGGGACCACATCACTCCCACCCTCGCTCGCCTCCACTGGCTCCCCATCCCCCAGAGGATCGAATTCAAGATCCTCATCCTCACCTACAAGGCCATTCACGGCCTTGCTCCCTCCTACCTCTCCGACCTACTATCCCCCTACCTACCCGCCCGTACCCTCCGTTCCTCTGGCTCCGGTCTGCTCCACATCCCCCGCCCCAACCGCCCTACCATCGGTGGCCGGGCCTTCAGCCTCTCAGCCCCTAGGCTCTGGAACTCTATCCCCCAGTGCCTTCGCCGCCTCCTCCCTTTCCTCCTTCAAGGCCGGTCTCAAGACCTTTCTCTTTGACCGTGCCTTCAGCTCCCCTCTCGACTCTCTACCCCCTCCTCGCTCCCTCCCTTCCCTCCCCTCACCCTGACCATTTCCCCCTTGCTCGGGTCCTGACCCAACTGTACAGCGCCTTGGGACGTCCTCCCGACGTGAAAGGCGCTCAATAAATGGAATCTTGTTGTTGTTGTTGTTGTTGAGTGGGAAGAATCCCAGTCCCCAGTGACCAGTGTTGCATGCAGGAAGCAACGCTGATACCACTTTCTTCATGAAATTACATCAATAACGTGCCTTGCTAGCTTGCACCTAAACTTTCTGAAACTGGGTAAGCAGGGTGCAACTGTCCAGGGAATAGTGTACATTACACTCCAGACGCAGGGAAATTTCCACGTGTAGGTGGCCTACCTATGCGGAACTCTGGTTTTGATTCTCTGAGTCCTGCTGATATGCCAGATTGGCTGATCTGGCATTAGTCGTGCCCTGGAATATCACAAACCTGCCTGGTTCAAGAATTGGACTACTGCGACTGCCACACCTTCCAAGTATGTCACCTCGGAGCTAACTGAGCTACAAATACGTCACCTGGAGCCAACTCACTTCCAAGGACACCATGCTTACCTCCCCTCCCTCCTCCCCAGGGGATAGTCACCTATATGGAAAACTAATATGATTTATGCATGGCAAGTTTGGAACACAAATTTCTAACAAGGACAATGAGAAGAAAAAGTAGAATCAGTTCTCGGTGATGCCCTGAAACATTCCTCCTCCAAACTGCTCTAATCAGTATGTGTTATAGCTCTCTAGCAACAGATCTTTGTTCAGAGATACAAATCCTTTAATAGGGAAACCTCAAGTGAAGGATGTTGGGCATGCTGCCTCATTGCATTGAAAATGCAAGTAGTAAGTAATTAGGGTTAAAATAAGACAAAGAAACAGGCGTTTTTTTTCCTGAGGCTAGAACAGCTATTAGTAGGTGAATATGGTTACCTTCCACATGCTGCTCACTCCATATCCATTTGCTGCAGTTTTACTTACATGAGTTAAGAAAGAAATTGTGCCTGGTTAATTCTACTTAAATTGTATGACCATACATCTGTGATATGTATTAATTGGAGTACTGATATGAACTTCAACTCTATCCAGTTCCAATTCTTAAAAAAAATGGTTTGTACTGCATGTGAATTTATTGGTGATAAAAGAGGTAAGCAAGATTATGTATTAGTGTAATTATTGATAATTTAAAATGTAAAGTCATAATTAATTTGACTAATGATGAAACTGACGTCGATCTCAGCAAAACCACACTGAGAACATGTTACAAAAAAAATCAACTCACCAGCGCATAGGCAATGTATCACTGCCCAGAAATAGCCTGCTGGGTCAAACTGAAACAGAAGAAGTACATTTTACTTTCAAGGAAGATACACATTTACTGGGCTATGACTCCCCTACATGGGCGCTTTATGAAACTGCAGTAGAAACAAACATACAACACTGGTCTAAAGGACATATAGTATATACTTGTTAAAGTTCAGCAACTCTCCCTCTTCATTTTGATTTGCTTCATGGAAACGCATATAACATACAAATTCTTCTGTGAAGGATCTCTGACATTTTAGTCTTGTAAATCTATTGATTTGCATCCAAAATTTTAAATATGCACACACCCTCAATAAAGCGCAGAGACTTTTATTACAGGGAGTTTAACAAGATGATGATAAGGTAGTTGGTCTATTGTACAGAATGAGGGTATTGAGAGATAAGTTTTTCACATGCAATGATATCAGAAGATTTAACCCCAAAGGAGATTTCTGGGGCTGTTTCACGTGTACATTCAACTTGTTAAAGCAACCATCTCTATTCAGCAACCACCTTCTGTCAACAAACACTCCGGATCACTCCCGACTTATTTTGCATTATACCCTTTATTAAGCAACCATCCTTCAAATGCAACCAGTAGCCAAAGACGCGCCAAGCAGCCCAGGTGACGCCCGCAGCCTCCCTTCTCACCGGCTGCTCAGTACGACATTGTCGAACCTGAGTTCCTGCAGATTCAGCACCAGATTGTGGAGGACAGTGAATCAGATTAGTTGCCAGATCACCAGCCTGTCACCAGCCACCCTGAAGGATATGTGGCCACACATTGCTATACTGAAGGACCTTTGTCCAAGATTGGAACATGCAGACATATTAAAATTAATGATGCATGTGGAGGCCAAGCTTTCTGAGAAACATAATCCACCAGAAAATAGTTATGGACTTCTTCAGCAAACAGCAATGATTTGTATTTTGTAATTGATGTATGACTTCATTAATTTACCTGTAGTTTGATTTATGGGTTCGTATATGCATTGTATTTTTCTATACAATGCATAGAAAACACTTAGAAATTCTACAGATTCCAACAAACCCGTACTCAGAGGCTGCCCTTACATAAAGGACACTTTGGCTTAGTCCCGAGTGGTTGCTGAAAACAGGTTTGACTGTAGATACCGATCATTATCAAGGGGCAAAGAATAAATTTCCAATAAAGGGAAAAGGCCAAAAAAGGCTGGAGAGGGAAAACATTATTTGTTTTTGTTTTCTGATCTTTTTGCTCAATTACTGACTTTAGAAAAAGCAATTATGCATTTTGTCTTTGATCACAATAACAAATTCCAATTACATAGCACCCCTCACGCAAGGTAGAGTCCCAGAGCACTTGACAGTGGCGGAGCACGACTCCGAGCTGGGAGGAGGGGCAGGTGACCATAGGCATAGCCGAATAGGAAGGTCTTCAGGTACGACCTAAAAATGGGGGAGGAAGGGGCAAGGCAGAGGGATAGAGGAACAGTGTTCTTGAGTTTTGGGGTATAGTTGCTGAAAGCAGGGCACAGGGGACATGCAGATAATCCTTGTGCCTAATCAATACGTTGAGATGTCTCAAAGTGCTTTACAGGCCATACTGTAAAGTGGATTGATTATATTTTGTGGACAGAGACCTGCTTTTGAAATTTCCAACCAGAAATGGCAATTTAGCACATCAAAACCAAACATCTCAACTCAGTCTTCAATTTCTCTCTTGAGAAGGCCCTGATCTCAGCTGAAGCCATCTGGATGTGAGGTTAATGACTGACATCGTGTTAACTGTCTGAGTACAATTAATTCAGATAGCAGACAGGTTAAAACATGACACAGCTATAATAATCCTTGTAATTGATATAATGCCTCACAACATTTGACTGTAAAGTGTAGTGACTATGTATTTTGTAGGCATATTTAAACAGAGATGGATACTGTACAAGGAATTGAGAACACCACAGATGAAAATACGACTTTCTAATTTTGCTCTTAACAACTTGAATCAGAACAGACCAAAACACAATTTCTGCACTAGGGAAAGGTAACAAAAGCAGCCTGTGAATACTATGACTAAATATTCTAAAACTAACAACTTCATTACATAGCACCCCTTTCACATCAGATAAATGTCTTGAACTGCTTAACATGCAATGATATCAGGAAGTTTTAAATCCAAAAATATGGAACACACCCATTAGGAAGCGAGAGGAAGAATTAAGAAATTTGGAAATCAAAGAGGATGCTTTTGAATGTAAGGAGAGGCAGCAAGGCAAAGAGAATTTGGAAGTGAGTAACAAAGGGCGGAATAGCCACCATTGGTGGATGAAGAGCAAAAAACAAGCAATAGACTAGAATTGGAGATAAGGATGGTATGGACAGGAGAATAGGACTGGGATGGATTTCAAGGATAGTGAGGGATGATGGAATTTGAAGATCAGAACACAGATCATAAAGTGAATTCAATAAGGTAATGGGAGCCAATGAATCGTGAAGACTGAAAGATGGGTGTGCAGAGCCATGATGCAGAACAGAATGCAGGCTGTAGTATTTTGGTAGAAATTAAGTTTGTGTAGGGTGGAGCTAGGAAGGTCTGGGAGTCAGTGGGCAACGATCAGGGGATGGAAAAATGTGGTAATGGAACTGAATTGGGGGCTTGAAGCACAGCTGGGGGTTAAGCAGAATATCAAGATTTCACACTGACTAATTAAATGAAAGTGAACAGCCAGTGGCTGATGGAGCCAGAGATGAGAAGGTGCTGGTGAGAACCAAAGAAAATAATTTAAGTTTTGTTAATATTTATCTGAAGCAAGTAAAGGTCCAGGGCTTGATATTTGATAAGAACTCAGTTAGAACACCTGATTTGAGGGTGAAGTAGTGCTGGGTGTCTGGCATACTGGCCCCATACTTGTGTTGATGTCACCAAGAGGAAGCATATAGATAAGAGAGAGGAGAGAACCAATGATAAAACCAGTTATCCATTATGTTCTCAACCAGCAGCATTCAGGCATGGTACCAGTGCGAGTCATTCAGTTAGATCCATTCCTCACTTACCTGAAGGTCATTTAATGGTAGACAGACAGCAGCTAGGAGAACCATCAACAGGCTAAAGGGAAAGTAGTATTGAGAAGAAATTAGTAAAACATCAATTCCGATTGTATAGTGGTAATTTTATGTCAACAACATTCTGCTCAATTGTTAATTTGGATCAATAGCTTTTTGAAAATGTAAAAACCCATCTAACCTAGGTCTGTCCTCTTCTCCCTGGTGACTATGGCTAGTGTAGAGTTCTAGTGAGTGCCAGCAGCCCTTTGGTATCTTGATTTAAGTGTCCAGGTATTTGTCAGGTATTTCGTTGACATACATCACAATCAAATCCAAATCCCAATCCCATCAACAATGTCTACCCAATGTCTACCCACTTTCCAGGATTGATAGAAAATAGGAACCATCCTGGTCAATGTTTCCCATTCCCAGGTATGGCTCAATGAAGGAAGCCAACAATAGCATTAATGACAGGGAGTTAAAAATGCGGCATTCAATGCGCTAATTTGCTACCAGATGCAGTAAAAAGCAGGGGGGAAAAATCACAAACCCCAAATGTCAGCAAATGCCATCTTTCTCATTAATAAAATCATCTTTGGATTTAAAACAATGCCCATAATATCAAAATGTCTCAAAGTGCTTTGCAGAGAATTGATGTCAAGTGTAGTAACTGCGTATTTGTAGGCACCTGCATCAATTTGTGCACAGCACTGACCCCCAAAAGAACGGTCATGAAGTGACTGGCCAATTTTATCTGGAGGATTGCTGACCAGGAAATTGAAAGAAATCCCCTCATCTTATAAAACAGTGCCATGGGATCTTTAACATCCACCTGAAAATACAGTTTAGGTACTGGATTCTGCATCCCGACTCCAACAACAGCGGGAACCTGGTTTTAAACTTCTCATCCAAAACAAGGGACCACCAAGAATGCAATACTCCATCAGTACTGCACTGAAGTGTCAGCAAAGGAATATGGGCTCAACGCACACATGTGGGGCTTGAACCCATAACCCTCTGACCCAGAGTGTTGCAAAGTGAGCTAGGCTGACCGTTTTGCTTTTCGACCTTTGGGGCCTTTTCTCAGATGAATAATGGCAAAACACTGACCAACTGCATTTTCATTGTGACTTTTGCATTTTCAACCCCATTAACTAAACTTAATGTTTAAGGGATTAAAAATCACATTCCCTCATTGACCATCAGAGAAGCCCTGCACTGGAGCATATTAATTAACCAGACATGGTGCTGAATACTTGGGATTAGAGAGTGAAGCTCATACCAATTTTTCATCTATGATCACGTTTTAAAAATAATTTTCTAGGCCAGACTGAAGCAAGAAAGTCTCTTCTGCATGGCTCGCTACGAAATGAGTTTTGGAACTTCCAACCCAGCTGCTGTGGGTTCACTGCACACAACTGCCTTTAATTCAGCACAAATTGGCAATCTCTCTCAAGATGGGCCACAAGAGGACTGCTGTGGAATGATGTAGAAAGCATCACACTTGGGGGGAAAAATTCCTTGTTAGGTATTTAATTTTGGGCAAATAATAAAACAGTAGCTATAAACATATATGCTAAATTTCAATGGTGTTCTATGTCAAAAGAATTTGCATCAAAAGAAAACATAAGCAGGGTAAAAGGCATTAATTGCATATGTAGTGGAATATGTGCAAGAATACCCTGAAAATTCCCTCCTCAAAAGTGTATAGATTTACAGTTTTTGTGACCTCTTAGGCCAAATGTGTAAGTAAATTATGTTATTTCTACGTTTGTGTAGAAATGTAAATTGGGTCCTCATTATTTCTCAGCACTATAGTGAGCAGACCATCTCTCATAAGAAGCCTTGGAGAACCAACAACAATAATTTATTATATCTTTATAGCAACATCTCAAATCACTACCCAGAGTTGACTGGGAGCCAGAGCATGGTTGGGGAGGGGAGAGAATGATGGCCAAAAGCGCAGTTTAAAAATAAGGTCTTCAGGCAAGTATTGAAGGTAAGGAGAAAGGAAACAAAGTGTGACTCCAAGATGGAGTTAGAGATTTGAGACTCCCAACTGTCCTTCCTCCCCTACATCCAGTCCCTGACCAGGACTCCTTTCTTTCATCTCGCCACATTGCCCACCTCCGACCGTATCTTACCCTAAATGCAGCCGAAATCCTCGTGCATGCATTGGTCACCTCCCACTTGGTTTACTCCAACGCACTTCTTGCCGGTCTCCCCAGCTCAACCATTCACAAGATCCAGCTCACTCAAAATTCTGCTGCCCTCATACTGACCTGGACCAACTCTGTACCACATCTCACCAGTTCTGGTCAGACTCCACTGCCTCCCCATCACCAAAGGGATCGACTTCAAGATCTTCACTCTCGTGTTCAAATCCATTCACTCCCTGGCACCTCCCTACCTCTCCGACCGCCTCACTCCCCAATCCACCACCCAGCGCCTCTGCTTGACTGGCATCAGCCTCCTCCACCCTCCGCCCCGACATCGGAGGTTGTGCTTTCAGCAACTACTCCCCAAAACTCTGGATCACTCTCCCTCAATCCCTCCGCCTTGCCCCTCTCTCCCCTCTTTCTAGTCCTGCCTGAAAACTTTCCTGTTCGATCATGCTTACGGCCACCTCCCTACTCCCACCGGCTCTGAGTCAGGCTACGTCACTGTTAAGGGCTCTGAGACGTTACCCTGCGTGGAGGGTGCTATATAAATGCAAGTTGTTGTTGCGGAGACAGAAATGGCTAAAAGCTTGCCCACCAATAGTGGGGTGGATGAGCGGGAAATACGAAGCTGGCTGTTGTTTTCCCTGAGTGGAGGGAGCAGGGAGAGTAAGGGAACAAAGATGGGGTGAAGAGATTATGGAGCCCGGTGCGGAGAGGACACTGGCTACACAATTCTGGAATGCCTACAGCTTTTATAGGGAGCAACTGAAATAAACAAATAGACAAGAAATGCCCTTAACTGTCCAACAGAATAAATTAGATATGTTAGACAGAGGAGGAGAATGATATCACACATTCCACAAAATTACCCTAAAGAGATGTATAGGAAAGAGCTGTATATGCATCATGAAAAGATTTGAATTTAAAATAGAATCCTCCCAACATTGGCTTTTGTTCCGACTATATTCTCTTAACATGCACAACTCCTACTTTTCGTTGAAGTCTCACTGCATAATCTGTAAAGCAGACAAGTTATCGATGTGCCTTATTTTGACTGACTGCAGCGTTTATGTCATACAAATGTTACACAAGTTAGAAGTATAAAATCAAACCAGACACCACACTTCACCAATTCGTGGAAATGATGTTAAAGTTACAAAAAGATTTGGAGAAGATTAGTAATTGTTCCCTACCTGTGCTACAACTTCTGGAGCCTTTGCCATTTGTGTTGAATGCAAAAGAGGGTGCATCCAACTTTGACCAGAATGTTCGCAGCAAGAAGCTGGTCCCAATAACCTGTTGCTTCTGCCACGCAAATGGAGAGAGGAACAAATTTCCACTGCAGCCCATTGCTCGAAAGAGTACCAGCCAGATAGATGAGAGCAAAGTTGAAAGTAAAATGCTCAATACTGATTTTCCTTTTGTCCTATCAATGTCACTCATTAAAGAAGAGTTTCCCCTGGTGCCTAACTCTGCCTCACAAACTATTCCTTGCCTACATGACAGGGTTTGAAATGAGGTGATTCGACCTTACCTCGGCATTAGCAAAACTTTTCTTCTACAACCAGAATTTTTACTTGTATCTTGATATTTCCTATCTCACGATCTTTTCGTTCAGTTGAGTGTTGCAGAAGAGCTGGCCTCACAATGGACATAAGCACTAACCAACATCACAAGCCCAACAAACTTGCACATAACATCTAGGGCTCAGAAACCTCACACATGGACACACAGAGGTCTTTAAAATATTTACATTATATAGTTTGGGGTTAGAGATGAGAAATATTGATGAAGAGCCTTTCACGTCATGCTCAGAGAGAATAATGTTCTACTTTTTCAGCGAGTCATAATATCCCTTTGGTGATCTTGTCATAAATTGCATTGCACGTGNTTTTTTTTCTCATTTCCTTACATATTTCCTACAGGTTTATTCGAATTTAAATTCTCAACTTCTTCTGAATAGCACCTAAGCCAATAAAAATTGATTTAAAACCAAGATCCATGACATAACATTTGGTAAATGTGTGGAAATGCAATTGACTAGCAATATTACTGGATGTACGACAAGAGACCAACTTACCTCAGGAACTTCATAAAAGACCATTTCTGTGTAAAATAAAAGAAAGATCATGTGTACTTGTAATCAGAGCTTACAGTTCAGATCCTGCAGCAGTCTATCTATACTTCCTAATTCGGATAATGGGGTCTTATTTGCAATATTTCTCTTTTTATATATTTAAACTCATATCAGTATGACTGGCAAGGACCAAGTCTGTTGTTGATCTAAGCTTACCCAAAGAAAGTCATGGTGGGTCTCTCTCTTTAAACCGATCTAATCCTTGTGACAATGATACTTTCACAATGGTGTTGAGTAGGGATTTGAACCCAGTGAGCAAGATTGGCAATTTATGTTTAATTTATGTTGGCCTAATAAACTGACCTGATTTCATGATTGTAAAACTAGGTCATATGAATTTGAAAAGAGGTTAAACCTAGTTTAATTAAATGGGAACAAAAAGGATTACAGATCTTCAAATGATTCCAACCATTCTCTCATTTTTTTGTTGTTTAAATGATTGTCTTTATCAAATGACTTGTATTTCTGCTGGTAACAGTAATTAGGCACATTCAGGTTACAGAGACCAACTCACTTTCTCAACTATAGCATTAAAGCACTAAGTCCAGTATCTGCTCTATTGGGGATACCTGATCTAGTTTTCAACTACCTGATTTTTTTTGCTATTACACGCAGTAGAACAGTATTCAGGGAAGTGAAAGTAGCATTCAACCTGTATTGCTTCAATTGCGCTCAGCTGCACCTTACACTGAATGCACGTGTGAGTGAAATCAAGAGTTCAGTGAACTCAGCTAACTTTCTCAAGCTACATACACAGCAGCTTAGGTACTGGATTCTGCATCCTCATGGCCCAACTACAACAACAAAATTACATTTGTAAAGTGCCTTTCATGTCGTGAGGACGTCCCAAGACGCTGGACAGTCAGTGTTTCAGACCTGAGCTGGGGGGCGGGATTCAAGAGGGTGAAGAGCAGGGGGGAAGCAGGGTGATCGAAAGCAGGGTCGAACAGGAGGGTTTTGAGATGGGTCTTGAAGGAGGCGAGGCAGATGGACTGCGGGATGGAGTTCCAGAGGGTGGCGGCTGAGTGGAAGAAGGCCTGCCCGTCAATGGTGGGGGGGCAAAAAGGGGCGAGGTGAAGCAGGCCGTAGCCCGCTTAACAGAGGGAGCGGGCAGGACGGTAAAGGGATAGGAGGTCACAGAGGTAGGGGGGAGCAAGGCCATGGAGGGCTTTGAAGGTGAGGACGAGAACTGTATCCTCTGTGTGATGGGAAGCCAGTGGAGTCGGGCGAGGATGGGGTGATAAGAGTGATGGAGCCTGGTGCGGGAGAGGACACGGGCTGCAGTGTTTTGGGTGATCTGCAGCCTATGGAGGGAGGAGTTAGGGAGGCCGACAAGCAGGGAGCCTGCATAGTCAAGCCTGGATGTTATGAATGCATGTATGAGGGTTTCGGCGGCCTGTGGTGCGAGACAGTTGAGGAGCCGGGGAATGTTGCACAGGTGGGAGAAGGCAGAGTGGGTCATCGCACGGATTTGGGGTAGAAAGTATAGTTGAGTGTCAAACAAGACGCCAAGGTTCCGGACTGGCTTAGTAAGATGGCGTGTGCATCCATAGATGGTTATGCTGTCACCATCCATGGATGCACACTCCTGAGGTGAGGAGGCGCTGACGGGAGCCAATCAGGAGAGCCTCGTTCTTGTTGACGTTCAACTGAAGAAAGTTAGCTCTCATCCAGAACTTGATGTCTGACAGACATTCTGTCAGGACAGCAGTGGTCCTGGAGTCAAGGGTGGAGGTAGAGAGGTACAGTTGGGTGTCATCCACATACATGTGGAAGTTGACCCCATGTCTGCGGATGATGTCACCAAGAGGGAGCATATAGATGTTGAAGAGGAGGGGCCCAAGGACAGAGCCCTGAGGAACGCTGCACGAGATGGTGCGGGGACTAGAGGAGAAACTTGTAGAGATGAAGTGGAGGCGGTGTGAGAAGTACGATCTGAACTATTCAAGGACAGAACCGTGGAGGTTGAGGTGAGAGGAGAGGTGGTGGATGAGGATAGAGTGGTCAACGGTGTCGAAGGCAGCAGAGAGGTCAAGGAGGACGAGGAGGCAGAGGGAGCCCTGATCACAGATTGACAGAATGTCATTTGTCACTTTGACCAGGGCGGTTTCTGTGCTGTGGGCGGCACAGAAACCCGATTGGAGGGGTTTGTGAAGGGAGTGCCAGGAGAGGAAGGAATGCAGCTGAGAAGCAACGACTCGTTCCAGGACGTTGGAGAGGAAAGGGAGATTGGAGATGGGGCTAGACGTGTGTCAGTACGAACCATTCAAACTGCTGATTCTATATGGCGCATGGCATCTGTGCCCAATGTCTCAAGCCCCATACTGCAAAGACATGTTGAAATGACAAAATCTGGTTTGTCAAGTTGTCATAGACGTCACTTCCTGTATTTTTTGCACAATGTAAAGGAAACATCACATAGAGACATCAGCGCCGCTTCCTGTGTAGTATGCAGGAGTGACATGAGCAGCAACATGACGACCCAGAAGTCAGCTATTTTTCATAAAGACAGGAATTGGGTGGCATGACTTCAATTTTCACTTAAGAAAATGGCGACCTATGTAGTGCTGCTGACATGAGAAAGTATTCCCAAACCTCAACTTATGGTCCCAACACCCAGGCTCTGGTCCCCAGAAAGCAGTATGAAGCCCTTTGATACATACTGCCACGTGAAGGGCAGTGTGCAGTAAATGTAAATTGTACTGTATAGTGTATAGCTCTAGCAGGGCAGGATGAATAGATAATGAAAATACAACACAAATACTCCATACCTCTTTCTTGGACAGCCTCTGGAGGATGGTGGCAACAAGTTCAGATACATTGTGAAACACAAGGAAGAATGGGATGGGCTGCAAGAGGTCAATCATAAAAAATCTTAAACATAACAGAACATTTTCCAGGATTGATAAAAACTAGTTCACAAATTCAGCATTCTGAAATCCTCCTGCAAGGTTTTTATTCATTGTAATTAATAATGGGATAATGGCTCTACATGTGCTAACCATCTCCAAAACCTCACCTCACAAGATAACAAGGGAGGGTTGAACGAAGAGGAACTTTCAGTTCATTCTAGAGTAACCATTCTACTGTACTGTATTTCATCACAGCACAGCATCAAACTCTGCAAGGCTTGTCTAGAAGCAATTTGATCAAAGTCCAGAGCCAGATTCTATCCTCACCTGATGTTTACACACAATCACTTTGAGTAGGGATCACTAGAGTCTGACCACAAGTAGGAATTCAGACCGTCCTTATTCCCTAACCCAAAGGCTGAAACCAAGTGTAGCATCCCCATTGGTTGAAGATCCGCCAGGAAAATCAAACCCAGGACTTTCCTCAGACACTCACTGGATACGTTATCAACCCACAGGTGTCCTTCCTACCGCACATCCGGTTCCTGACCAAGACTGTTTTCTCCATTTCCATTGCCTGCCTCCAACTGTACCTTACCCCAGACATAGCCCAAACACCTCCTGCTTCAACTACTCAAATACCTTCCTCGATGGTCTCCCCAGCTCCAGTATCTACAAAATCCAGTTAATCCAAAACTTCAATACTGCATACTCATCTGCATCAAACTCTATACCCCCATCAATCCAGTTCTAGCCAGGGTCCACTGGCTCCTTATCACTGAACCTCTCCGACCTACTCACTCCCCGACCAACTACCCATTGCTTTTGCTCGACTAGCTCAAGCCTCTTGCTTGTCCCTCGTGCCCTCTGTTTCACCACTGGCAGACGTGCTAACAGCCACTACGCCCCAAAACTCTGCAACTTTCTCCTCAATCCCTTGCCACATGCTTCCCCATTGTCAGGTCATGCCTCAAGAACCTGCACTTCAACCATGCCTATGATCACCCCACCCCCAACTCTCCAGCTCAGCGCTAAGCTCCTCCACTGTTAAGCGCTCCGAGATGCTACCACAAGGTATGGTATATAAATCCAAGCTGTCGTTGTAAAAGCTAAGCTATTGTTACTTGCAGAAGGAAGTTGGAAAGTAGAAGTTTAGATATAAATCTCTTATCAGAATGTCATATTCAACATAGATTAGGAGAAAAACTTAACAGAATAAATAGCACACAAGCAATATTAATCAGGGACTCCACCTAGTGGCTCCGATGAGAACTGACAAATCACAGCAAGTTTGACATTGTCTTAAACTGGAGTCAAAAGGATTGAAAATACCATATCCACAAACTGGAAGTTGCTGAACTAATTCCAACTTTTGGTTTGTCAATTAATTTTCAGGTTTCCTACTATTTTACATATATGAAGAAAGAACCAGGGAAAAATCCCAGTCTTTAAGACTATTCTGCAGCTACTGTTTTGATTTCTGACCTTTTATCAGATTTGGGCCTCTGCTTGCCTGACAAAAAAAACAGCAGCATTCACAACTTCTGAGTTATGATCATAGTCCATGTTTTGCTTTTTGGGCTGTTTCTCTATAAGGAAAGGCATGGGAAATACTGTGTACAATATATAAGGGTCACCACAACATAAGGGTGCGGCCTGACCCTAGAGGAGGTACAAAGGACAACAATCAGGATAATCTCAAGTTTTAGAGGATGAGTTACAGTAAGATAAGGCTCATCAGTCTTGAAAAGAAAAAAATCTAAGAGAGGATTTTATAGATATATAGGTATATAATATTCTAATGGGATATAATTATAGGTATGTAATATTCTAATTGAGATTGAGAAAATAAACCCAGAACTATATTTTCACATATGCCAAGACAGCAGAACGAGAAGGCACAAAACGACCATTTCAAGATAGATATCAGGAAGTATTGCACATGTGCGCAAACATTGGTGTGGTAGCCTAGACTGTAAGTTCAAAGTCCCGATGTGGGGTTTGAACCCATAACCTTCCTCTGAGGTGGGTGCTGCCAACTGAGCCAGGCTGACAATTGATTTAAGTCACCAAAGCCTGTCACATACATAGTTGCATTTCAGTTTGAGTGTTACCTGTATGCATTACAGCACCTATAATGTGAAAACATTTCAAAGTGCTTCATATAAATTACTTGAGAAGAGGATGAGACCTGAGCACCCTCTCCAGAGTTGGCAGCCAGTAAGAAGAGGAGAAACTGGGCACAGCAACTAGAGAAAACAAATCTAAATTATAAAAGCAGGAAGAGACTTGGTTTGCGTTCTTATTCTTTGACTTAAAACACAACGGAACTATTATAGAAGGATAACTCTTTAATTGGGAGTCAGATAGTTACTGAAAACTCTCAGAAACCCAATTTACATTTGGAGCAAGGATCAATTCTGCTGGGATTCACTCAGCTCCAATTTAGGGCAGATGTCCTTAATGACCACACCAAACCAGAGAATGAGACACACACTACTACTTTTAAAGGAACAATAGCACAAGAATATACAATTTGAATATGAATTAATTAAAGGGGAAGTACAGTCTATGGGCAGTATGTATTGTTTTAAAGTAAACAGTAGACATGAAGGGGTGGAAGAAAGACAGTAAAAAATTGTAGGGAAATCTCATTGAGTTCAATGCATCAGCAGCTGCATTACAGGCAAGGTGCAAAAAAATGCTAACTTCCACTAATGTCACTTTGCTATACACATAAGCAGGAAGTGCTGCTAACATTAATTCATTCATGAAGGAATTTCAGCAAGTGACAATGATGGGAAATTAACAACCTGGAAAACAATGTTAAAATGCTAATCTGGCTAGATCTGATGAAAATAACATTATTCTGATACGCCAGAATGCTTTCAACATGAATTAGAAAGTTTAACACTAATCACCAAGCTGGAGTAATAGAATCCTGCAAATTCATGATGCATTGACAGAACAGTTAGAAGCACAATGTCAAAACATTGGAATGCAAACGTTGATTTCAGTAATCTAACTCCTCTTTCCCCCCACCCCTTAACCAAAAAAATACCCTTACCAGTTTAGATAGTGCCCGAGAACCTGCATAGATCATGCCAACAAACAGCACTGCCCCCGGGAACCAGGAAATCTTTGCAGACCTATCAAAAATTAAATAAAAAACAAATTAGCTGCAAATACATTTCTGACTGTAAAATACTGTATTTGGGTGTAAAGAACTCTACCTCTAGTTTTGTGCAATTTAATGCTAGTTATCTCATTTAAATATTGTTATTTTGCTGGCTGAAAGTCTAATTACTGGCAACATTTTACTAATCAGGTTCATTCCTTCAAAAAGTTCCCTAAAGACAAGATGTTAATTGGGTAGTGACATAAAACAAACTCTACTCAAGTTAAACACCCAATCGAATTCTACAGGAATTTACAGGACTAGTACAAACTCTCACAGTTTCAAAGTAAATAAACTATTATCTTACACTTTTCTCTCTCCCACACCTCTCAATCAGTTTCTTTGCCAAATAACTATCATGTTGCCCCTTGAATTTGCTCCATTTTATTTGGTATCCTTTGATTCAAAGTGGGAAAGTAAGAATTTGTTGAAGAACCACCAAGAAAATTTGATCACCTGGTTTGTTGAGACAGTACTGGATGATGAACTGTAAGTATTGGTTCTAACCAGCAATGCAAAATCTGCAAATCGCATTTTCATTTTAAAGTTAGTACAATTGCTTAAGGCACCAGTAAGTGTGTTTTAAGTGATGGAAGTAATGAAAATATCCGAAGCACCAACTAAATTACTTCACTTGAAGCACTATTCTGGTTTAATCTGGAGTTCTACACTTTCTGGAGACTAAAACTTCACAAAAATTACTTGAAGCATTTGCACCTCATATCAATAAGTCAGCCATTCTCCACCATGCTTTGAAAAATAGTTTCAAGGTCATACTAATGTGTACAAGATATATTTTTAAATATCTGCTGCTATTCTTAAGATGATGAAAGAAATCATATTTCACATAAGGAGCAAAAAAAACAGAACCAGGGTAGGTTTTTAACATCTTTGAAGAGAATTTACATCTAGATCATGAATTCTACAACAACAACAAAATTACATTTGTATGGCGCTTTTCACGTTGGGGGGACATCCCAAGGTGCTGAATTCTAGATAATGGGAAGAAAGACAGATCTTAAGATGGGATCAGATATCTGGACAGTTAGATTGAATAGGATTCTTCAATAATTCCCTTACCATAAAACATTACTTTTCATCTCCACCCATCCCAGTTTCCAGGACACCTGAAGCAGTAATCCTCCCACCAACATCTGCCAACTGAAAAGTGAAAAGAGGAGGGGAAACGTCATTCAAGTTTACAGCTGGACCATGGGTAATAAAAGTGTTCAAATGTTGTACACTAAATTACTTACAGCAATACTTACCCTTGAAAAAGCGTGGGATATGTAAATTTCAGTACTGAAAGGATATACTGGAAAACAGTAAATAAGATCACTTAGTTCAAGTCAAAATTTTAATAGGGAACTCACACCTGATGTTCAAACGTACAGGCTTTGACTTTGTTAATCCTAGAGATATTATTTATGCTTTCAGCAGATAAATAAATAATTATGAGTAATGAAACGTTACTCACAGTAGTGCACAAGTTGTTCTCCAAGGCTTATGTGTCATTAAAAACATGGGTGAAGGTGTGATTTGCACCTAACATAGACTGTGTCTTCAATTTTCCCTGCAGAACTTCTAACCTGGAATCAATTCTGACTCACGCAATCCCAAGTTACTACCTGTAATAATGTACTGCAGCAGATCTAACAAGCTGAAATGAGCAAAGCACCTTACAACCTTTAATGTGGGAAAATGGAAGTAATTCACTTTGATAGGAAAATAAAGAAGCCATATACAGTAGATGATAGGAACCTAAGGCGAATAGATGAACAACGATTTCTGGGGATTCAGATCCACAAATCTCTAAAAGTAGCTACACAGGTAGATACGGCTATAAAAAGAAAGTCCAAAGGGGTCTTGGGCNTTTTTTTTCCCCAGAGGGATAGAATATAAAAGTGAGGAAATAAAGCTGAATTTATACAGAACGTAGATTAGACCACATTTAGAGTATTGTGCCCCAGTCTGGTCTCCACACTATAAGGCTACAGTAGCAGTGGAAAGACGACAATGAAGGTTTACAAGAATGACACCAGGGCTGGCAGGTTACCTCTGGAAGAACAGAATGGACATTTTTGCGCTTGAGAAGAGACATTTTTAAGGGTGGGGTGGGGGGATCCTAATAGAGGTGCTTAAAATTATAAATGGGTTTGATAAGATTAACATAAATAGGCTGTTTCCACTGGTTGGGGGGTCCGTAACCATAAGACACAAAAATAAGATAGCGACGAGGGAACCTAAGAGAATTTACCCAAAGAATAGTAAGATTCTGGAACTCGCTGCCTGAAGTGGTGGTTGAATCAGACAGTGAAGATGCTTTCAAGAAGAAGCTAGATCTCCACATAAGGGAGGGGAAAAGAAGGATGTGGGAGGGAGCAAGGAATGGATAAAGACTTATATAAGTACCAGCAATGAACTGGTTGGGCTGAGTGACCTGTTTCCGTGCTGTACATTCGTTGTAAAACTATTTGCAATGAATTAATAAGGATTTTACAAGCATTCACATGCAAAAAAATTAATTGATAGAACACTGAATTTGGAGAGACTGTTAGGCAGGAGGTGCCTGTAGGCACGGTTGAATAGGAAGGTCTTCAAGCGCGACCTGAAAATGTGAAAGGGGCAAGGCAGAAGGATAGAGGAAGAGTGTTCCAGAGTTTCAGGGCATAGTGGCTGAAAGTACGGCCACCAATGATAGAACAGAGGGCATGGGGGACATGCAGAAGGCCTGAGCCAGTCAAGCGGAAGCAGCGGGTTGTGGGTTAAGCAAGTCAGAGAGGTAGGGAGGTCTGAGTACACTATGATCAATGAGGTTAATAAACAATTGTGCCCAAACTCACCATAACCTCTGCAAGTCAAAAGTATTCCAAAGTTGATCATCAATACCCAATATGGTCAGTACGTATTGTTTTAAAAGCACACCACCCACTCCGTTTTGGAAATGAAAATTTAGATTTTAAGCAGCTTGTTCTGAAATGTGTAAAATACGAAATGGATTCTGATAGTTAAAATAATGTAGAAGCAACGGTTCTTTTCCAGTTATTTCTTTGCCTAATGATATGGAGACTTCAGTCACAGTATTACATATATCAAAGCATCAAAGAGTATATTTTAGAAATAAAGCCAGCATTCCATTTCCTCTTCTACCCTCTTTCACCTTATATTACAACAACAAAATTACATTTATAGAGTGCCTTTCACATCAGGAGGACATCCCAAAGCACTGAACAGTCAACATCGATGGTAGGGCGGGTCGGCCGGGAGACATGGAGCAGGCCGGAGCCTGATGAACGGAGGGAGCGGGCCGGTTGGTAGGGAGTCAGCAGGTCAGAGAGGTAGGAGGGGCAAGGCCATGGATGGCCTTAAAGGTGAGGACAAGGATCTTGAACTCGATCCTCTGTGGGATGGAGAGCCAGTGGAGTCGGGCGAGGGTGGGAGTGATGGGGTCGCGGAGCCTGGTGCTTGAGAGTACACGAGCTGCAGAGTTTTGGATGATCTGCAGCTTGTGAAGGGAAAAGTTGGGAAGGCCGATGAGGAGGGAGTTCCTGTAATCGACTGATCAATTGAGAACAAACGCCAGGAACATGGATAATATTCAAAACGCAAAATATTGCAGATGCTCGAAATCTGAAAACAGTTGAGTTCTGACGAAGGGTCATTGACCCGAAACGTTGACTCACTTTTCTGTCTCCATAGATGCTGCCTGACCTGCTGAGTATTCCCAGCGACTTCTGTTTTTGTTTATGGATAATATTCATTTGGGTTATTCTATTATGATTACTCAACATAGTGGATCCATAGTTGTGGGTTCAGAGTTATTGTACTTTGTTCAGTAGGGTTGGTGAATTTGTCACTCTGTTCTTCAAAATTGCTTTACTGTAGGTTTATAAATGACATTTTTAATATACAATAGAAGTAAATTCTACATACGGGGTAGTGCTTCACACAGGAGTACATTTAGGGCAATAATCACTTATAACCAGAAATCCCACTATAAGCATTCTAAGTGTACCACAGTGAAACTCACATAAGTTGCACCAGTCAGGATCAAAACATTTAATATGCAACATTTAGTCTGAGTTGCAGGCAAACTCTATAAAATCCGATTTAATCAATAATCTACACTAAGAATGCATAATTCAATGCAGCCGGTAAGTGCGCATGCGGTGATGGGTTAAGACTGTGTTTCCCACGATTCAATGCGTGATCCATCGTCGCATGAGCACTTATCGTCAAGCATTGGAATCACATAGAATTGCGGGAAATTAAGTTCTTCTGCGTGCATGTCGATGGATCAAGACTACATTTCCCACAATTTAATGTAGCCAGCTGGTAAGTGTGCATGCGTCAACGGGTCAGGATGACATTTCCTGCAATTCATTACAGCTGGGAAGCGCAGGAATTTTGAAGGGTAAGGGGAGCATCGCTATGAGTTAGGAGCTTATGAATACGACTCGTGCAAATAAATATAAGTGGCGTTGATAGGAAAATGAATGTGAGTAATTTGCGTGTACGTCTTAGGTGATTATATAATTTATAAAGACAAGACTTATGCAAGTTTAACTGTGCTACATACAGCATCACCCTGTAAATGTGTACAATATTAGGTAATTATAAGCACATAGCAGAATATTCACTACACTGAGCAATTGGAGCAGAATCCTTTTCCATCCCCCGATATATTACTTAAAATCACCAGCACCATTGATACTTCAGTCAGATTGGATTTTTTTTAGAAAAATACCTTAGCAATAAAGACCTCAAATATGGGAGCCACACTGCTTATAACAGCAACATAATCAATCTTATACCAAGCCTCTGCCCTGTCTGCCCCCTTCCCCTGACATGTAAAGGGCGGCCTGAAATCCACATATGACCTGCAACATCATTTTATCTTCAAACAGAATAGTGCAAAATTCTTCAATCATAATTCAGAAGCTGTTCTTATAGAACCAATTTCCACATGATGGCAGAATTTAAAATGTTTTCACAATTTTGATTTTAAGACAAAATGGTCTTGTAGACCAATACTAGATGCAATTTCTGGCCTGTGGTTTCTTGCGCTCTTTGTTTAAGTATTGGGGAGAAATTCCACTTGGATCATGATACACTATTTTCTTGGCATTTGAAAACATAATAATAATCCTTACATTTAGTAAGAGTGCCTTTCAAGTCAGGACATCCCAAAGCTCTTCACCTGATATATTGTAAAGTGTAGTGAATCTGTGTTTTGTGGACAGTGGCAATTTTGTGCACAGCAATGTCCCACAAGCAGCCATGAAGTGAATGAACAATTTTTATTTAGGGCATTATTGGCCAGGACACCAGGAAAACCATCCTTCCCTTTTCAAATAGTGCCATGGGATCTTTAACATCTATCTGAACACGCAAATCAGGTTCGTTTAATGTTTCAACTGAAGGACAACATCTCCGACAATAATAATCCTTGCATTTGATATAGCGCCCTATCACGTCTTTGAGACATCTCAAAGCACTTCACAGAACGCACTGCGAAGTGAATTAACTGTACATTTTGGGAGCGAAACAGGGCAGCCAATTTTCCCCAGCAGTGTCCAACAAACAGTCGTGGACTGAGTGTCCAAATTATTTATTTATTTATATTTTTGGAAGGGATTATTACCCCCGGAAAAGCGATCTACCAACCGTCTAACAACTGGGTTCCTACTTCCAGCTTGGTGAACAGAGGGGTGTGGAGTGAGGAAATTTGCCCTATGTTTTGCCCTGCCGGGAATCAAACCCAAGGCTTTCTCCTGCATCGGAGTGTCAGCTTAGACTATGTGATTACATGTGGGGCTTGAACCCACAACCTTCTGCAAGAGTCCTACTACTGACACAGAGCATGCAGAATTATTTGACAAATTCTTTAACAGTCTTAATTTGGAGCCACACATTATTTGAGGATGGAATCAATGGCCAAAAGCACTGTCAAGGATAAGTTTATAGACAGCAATGTAAGACCTCATGAGATTGGAGAGGAAGGGTGGGGAGGCATCTTGTCAGGCTCAGCAATTACAATTACAAATTACAATTTGTGGAGTCCTGTAGCTCAGTGGTTAGAGCACGCGCCTCACAAGCAAGAGACCTGGGTTTGATTCCTGGCAGGGCGAAACCTTGGGAAAGTTTCCATACTCCACATGTCTGATGATAATCCCTCACGAAGAGAAAAACAATAATAAATTGGTCAGTTCAATCCCCGACTGTTTGTGGGACACTGCTGTGCGCAATTGGCCGCCGCGTTTCACCCACAAATACAAAGTCAATTCACTTTACAGTCTATTGTGTGAAGCGCTTTGAGACGTCTAGAAGACGTGAAAAGCGCTATATCAAATGCAAGGATTATTATTATTATTTATTATTACACACAGGACCTTTCAGAATGGAGAGGGTCGGGCCAATTCACCAAATAATAATTTGGGTCACTTCCAATTCAATCCACGACTGTTCTGTGGGACGCTGCTGTGCGCAATCGGCTGCCGCGTTTCACCCCCAAATATACGGTCAATTCACTTTGCAGAATATTCTGTGAAGCGCTTTGAGACGTCTCGAGGATGTGATCAGGCGCTATATCATACGCAAGGATTATTATTATTATTATTATTATTATTTCAAAGCAAGCTGGAGGTGGGGGGGGGGGGGGGGGTAGTCTAACGTTGATCCACTGGGGTCTAGTGAGCCAGTGGAGCCTGGTAAGGATGGAAGGTAATGGGCTCCACAGCCTGTGGAGGGAGATCTGGAGCCTGGAGGGTAAAACTGAGGAGATCTGGGAAAGACTTTAACGTCTGGACTTTGGTGGAATTTCTCCCTCGGACCATTTGTTTGAGAAGAGATGGCGGTTTGACCCGAGGAGAGGGAAGGCGCGAGGTGAAACGTTTGCTGGACTCGGGCTCCTGCCGCCTCACCTTGTTGGTGAAATAAAAAGCGCAGAGGAGCGGCGAGAGGCAGAGCTCGGCTCCCGTCAACCGCATTTGGTCATCAGATGCTCTCGGCCTGGACTCTCACTCCGGCTCTAACCGCCACCGGCCCCGCGAGCCCGCGCCACGTCACTCCGTCCCTAACCGCCACCGGCCCCGCGAGCCCGCGCTACGTCACTCCGGCTCTAACCGCCACCGGCCCCGCGAGCCCGCGCCACGTCACTCCGTCCCAAACCGCCACCGGCCCCGCGAGCCCGCGCTACGTCACTCCGGCTCTAACCGCCACCGGCCCCGCGAGCCCGCGCCACGTCACTCCGTCCCTAACCGCCACCGGCCCCGCGAGCCCGCGCTACGTCACTCCGGCTCTAACCGCCACCGGCCCCGCGAGCCCGCGCTACGTCACTCCGGCTCTAACCGCCACCGGCCCCGCGAGCCCGCGCTACGTCACTCCGGCTCAACCGTCACCGGCCTCACGTCACTCTGCAGAGCAGCCAATCCCGCGGCCTCCGCTCCTCCCACCAATGACATCACCCTGTGGGCGGGGTTTGCAAGAAATCACAATCCTTTTGTAGCCCAAAGTCCTCCAAATACTAGCCCCAAAGTAGCCCAATGTTGTGTGTTGCTCCTGTGGGGGTAGCAGAGTGACCAGTTTAGATCAGTGCTTTGGAAATTGTGCAAGAAATGGTTTTCAGAGAAAAAAGCACGTTTTGCAGGTTTAAATTGAATGTTTTCAGGGCTCCCTCTGCCTCCTTGTCCTCCTCGGCCTCTCTGCCGCCTTCGACACTGTCGACCATTCCATCCTCATACACCGCCTCTCCGCTTTACTCAATCTTCACGGACCTGCCTTTGCCTGGTTCGAGTCCTATCTCTCTCACTGTCTCCACTTTATTGCCTCTAACGGTTTCTCCTCCAGTCCCCACACTGACCCCCAGGGCTCTGTCCTTGGCCCTCTCCTCTTTAATATCTACATGCTCCCCCCTTGGTGACATCATCCGCAGACATGGGGTCAACTTCCATATGTATGTGGATGACACCCAACTCTATCTTTCTGCCTTCTCCCTCAACTCCAGGACCACTGCTGTCCTGACAGACTGCCTGTCGGACATCAAGTCCTGGATGAGGGCAAATTTCCTACAGTTGAATGTGAACAAAACTGAGGCCCTCCTGATTGACTCGCGCCACCGCCTCAGCACCTCAGGCTCTGGCAACATCAACCTCCATAGTTGCACACTACAACTCACCAAGTCAGTCAGAAACCCAGGTGTCTTGTTCAACCCTCAACTGTCCTTTCTTCCCCACATTTAAGCCATGACCCGCTCTGCCTTCTCTCACCTCCATAACATCGCCCGACTCCGCCACTACCTCACCCCTCAGGCCGCTGAAACCCTTGTTCATGCCTTCAACACCTCCAGGCTCGACTATGCAAATGTCCTGCTTGTCGGCCTTCCCAACTCCTCCCTCCACAGACTGCAGATAATCCAGAACTCTGCAGCCCGTGTCCTCGCCCGCACCAAACTCCATAACCCCATCTCCCCCGACTCCATTGGCTCCCTATCATTCAGAGGATCCAGTTCAAGATCCTGGTCCTCACATACAAAGCCCTCCATGGCCTCGCCCCACCCTACCTCTGCGACCTCCTAACCCCCTACCAACCCGCCCACTCCCTCCGCTTAGCCGGCTCTGACCTGCTCCATGTCCCCCGAAACACCCGCCCCATTTTTGGCGGGAGAATCTTGAGCCACTCTGCCCCCAACCTCTGGAATTCCATCCCCCAGTCGCTCCGCCTCGCCCCCTCCTTAGCCTCCTTCAAGTCCCGCCTCAAGACCTTCCTCTTTGACCATACCATTGGCCACCCCCCTTCCCCCCCCAACCCCAGCTTGTGTCTGAAATGCTGTACTCTGTCCAGCGCCATGGGATGTCCTCCTGACGTGAAAGGTGCTATACAAATGTAATCTTGTTGTTGTTATTGTTGTTGAAGTCAGCATCTCCACTTCCTCTTTGTGAGGGCAGATCAAACTCCTCAGATTGGAAGTACTGCAATCCCAATTCCGGCCAACAGAAGTCTGAAGGCATAGCTGTTGCCAGGAGTTCAAGCTTTCCCTTAATTGTAGGTGAGATACATTGTGCTAGCATTCCCAAGCAAATCTCAACAAGAGAACTTTTCGGGCAGGTGCTAGCTCAAGGAGTAACTGAACAGATATTACACTTGACCTTAGCTAAAAGGCTGAGAAGGGATAAGGTCCTCTTTGATATGTTTTCTCGCAAGGCTGAAGAGCCCTAGCTTGTCTAATCATTGCTTAGAACTCACTCCTCTAATGCTTGAGATCAGCCTTGTGTGCTCTCCTCTGCAGTGCTTCTCCATGATGCCAGGGAGTGTTTCAAGCAACATTTAGAAATATGTGCAGGTGGATGTGTACAACTCATGGAGATAAAACAGTGAAATTGGGATTCTGAGCTGCTGGAATTCACAGATCTCACTACCTACATGTTGATGGCTTCAAGTGCTATTCTACATGTTATTCTGTAGTTCTCGTACAGTAAAATCTAAAGCCTATGGCATTGGTGGTATCAATCACATGCTCACTGCAGCAGTATATTTCCCCACAGATGCGATGTACATATCATTCAAAAGCAGAAGGAAGAAGCAGTAATTTGTTTGGAAAAGTGATAATGAGATTGCACAACAAATGTATTTCCTGTCTTAACTGTAGAAGCAAATAGTAACTTGTAGTGCTGATGTGTAACAACAGGTGGCAGTAGAATTGCAGGTTGTAGCTCTGAGGAGCTCAGAATTTGGATTCAAGAAATCTGTTCGGCTGAAGCAATAGGGAACATGAGAAGCAATTTTATTGGAATTGATTTTCCACTAAATAAAAATACTTTTAGGTAGTTTAGAAATATATATAAAATTTAAAAAGTGCTTGCTAAGAATTGACTTGTACTTAATAACATTTATTAATTTAAAGTAATACCTATACGTAAGCCAGAATCACTGTAGATCTCGACACTGTAGACAGTGTCTAGATTCAGTTAAGGTGTAGAAAATGTAGCTTTATTTTCTGGATTCCTATCAAAAGAGGCTCCAGGTGTTTGGCAAGAGATCAGCATCTTTTTGTGAATATTGCAAAATTGGTCCTAATTATTCAAAAATTAAAAGGAGAATTTGGATTACAACAACAACAACAAAATTACATTTACTGAGCGCCTTTCACGTTGGGAGGACGTCCCAAAGCATTACAGCACTAGTGTGAGGTGACCGTTCAATAGTAAAATTATATCAAAGAATGAACAATATCTCATGTAGTACTAGATTTTTATCTCCCTAAATCATTCTTCGTTTCTGTTGGAAGTTGTGCTCCTACTGATGCACCTCTGACAAGGGGGTCCCATAGCTATTGAATGGAGATTATACAGCTGCAAAAGGAAAACAGCCATTTTTGTTTGGTGCTGACTCTGATCAGAGATGCCACTTAAAGACTCTTACTTTTATTTATATACTGTGTCCCAATTAAGTGGATTTGTTTACTTGCATCAGTAGTTTAGATTTAAGAGGACTCTATGAAAATGAAACACAGGACTATTTGTATAAAATAAGTGGGCAGTTCTGGGCTGCCTAAAGAATAAATATTGGTACCAGTTAGACACCTGCAGATACAATGCAGTACAGATTTGAATTTATATATGCCTTTCACACTATATTACCGAGATGATGTTGAATAGTGAAACTGGTGGTGTGGACGACACAATAATGTATGCCTCACACTATAATCACATACAGCATAGTACAGCTTCCAAAGACCGGGGGCTAGTGAACCAGAAGGACATTGAAAAGAGACTGATTTAGAAGCATTCAGCAGTTGTATCGTTTAGTGAATTTGAACATAATTATGTGTGTCCAAATTTAAAAAAGAGGAACATTTACATTTTGTAAGTAAGTTCTCCCGATTGTTTAAAAAAAAACACATGAAGTGTTCCTTTTTTTTTGCTGAATTTAAAGACTTGGTTTCAAACAACAAGCTAAATATTTTTGCGTTTCACTTTTTTTTATATAAATCTTCAAATCAGGTAGAACTGGCTGTGCCTATTCCAGTGTTTCTCACATACGGCCACCATCTTCACTGCTCTTTGATCTGCATTTTCCCTGCTCCTTTAAACAGAATCCAATACTGCCACTTTGTGTGGGGAGTAAGTAGTAAAGATTGAATAGCAGAAGTTTTTACAATAATTGAAAGATCCCAACCCTATACCTATTGAACCAGATTAAGTTTGAAGTTAAGATGATAATAATTTTTGTTTTTGATACACGGCTTATAGCATTAAACACCTTAAAACACTTAACAGGAAATTGCTGTAAACTCTGCAATTCACAGCATCATAGAATCATAGAATTGTACAGTACAGAAGGAGGCCATTCGGCCAATCATATCTGTGTCAGCTCTTTTAAAAGAGCTATCCAAATCAATCCCACTCCCCCGCTCTATCCCCGTAGCCCTGGAAACTTGTCCTCCGCAAATAATTATTTACTTAAAAGTTGTTATCATATCGGCGTCTACCACTGTTTCAGGCATTTGTACATAATGATTTGCAAATGCTCTGTATTTGCAGGCAAAGGCAGCCAAAGCTAAGGTGAATAGAGCATTGTTAGTTAGGATCCTGGGGGAGATCCTTTTTCTATTTGAATTGTATAATTTTTTTAATGAAGAACAAGCTAATGCGACCTCAGTTTAACATTTAATTTGAAAGATGACACACCCGATAATGCAACACTCCACCAATAGCAGAGTATCAGTTTAGACTTTGAGCTCAGGTCCCAAGATGGGACTTGAACCTACAACCTTCCGACCTAGAGGTGAGAGTGCTACTGACTGAGCCAAACTAGTAGAATAACTGTATGAGAACATAACATATAATGCTGAATCCATAGCATTGTATGCAAGAGATGTCAACTTGGATAAAATAGGTTGTGCCGCACAAATCTACAGGAAATCTACACTGTTTGCAAAGTGAACAAAGCAAATTGCAACATATTGTATCACGTTCATATGAAAGAAATCATTTTATTTTTCAATTACCTTATGTTCTTTCTGGTTATTGATTTTCACACTTTATATTATTGTCTGATTGAAGTTAATTATATCTGTGTATAAATTGGCCACTGATGAGAGCACACCCTGATACAGCATTAATTGCATACATTGTGTTCAGATGTGGCTATTGCCCTTTTGTATAGCAATAGTAGTTTGCACTTATACAGTGTCAATTCATGTAAAATGACATCTTGGAGTGTGTTACAGAAATGGTGCCAGACCAAGCAGAGAGGTGGGGTTGACAGAGGTGAATATAAGCACAGTCAAAGAGATCATTTTTGGCGGCGTTTGAAGAGTGATAGGAGGTGAGTGGAGGAGTTGGGGAAAGGTGTTCCAGAGGGTGGGTTCATGGAGGC